CCCACACCGCACCAGTCTTGAGAACGTGGACATTCCCTGGCAGTCGTGGCTGGGTGAGGAGAGTCACTCTCGTGGGCCTTCATCACCAAGTGGTGGCGGGTGGCGACGTGGCTAGCGCACCGCAACGGCGAGTGTCTGAAACCGGGTCCTGGGCCTCCCCCTAGGTTGACTCAGCCTCAAGCGAGTTCCTGATGCGGTGTTGTAGACGTAAGCGCTGGGGGAGACAAATGCGGTCAGGCGTGTTGCTGGCCACCCGGTCAGTCCCTTGCATGCCATGCCGGCCTTAATAGGTGCTCGCTAACAGCACCTTCCCACGACAGCGTTGTTTCGGGCTACACAGGGGATTTCTGTGTTGGGGGCTTGGGAGGTCCCGGCCCAACGGAGGCACAAAGCAAACATTCTTGTTGAGGGTCCATCCCTTGCTTCGTGTCAACTCCTAGCAAGAGCTGTGGGGAAAAAGCTTTAAAGCTCATCGGAGTCCTCCAGGATAAATAAATATTCAGATTCTGAAGATGACAGAGGGCAGAGAGTTATAGCGGACGTACGGCTGCTCTCAGTTGAAAATTCATCGGTTGAGACATTTGTGGAAGGCGCCTTACAAATAAATGTAAATTATTATTATTATTATTTGTCTCTATATATTGTCATAGTGTCAAGAGGTACAACAACGAAGACTTTAGTGGCTGCATTTTGCGAAGACGGAGCGCCCCCCAACAGCGTTAAATGTCCGAGCCCGTGAGCGTCACGGCGACGTGGATGAGGGCGAGAGGAGCCGCGATCTCTAAAAGCCTCCTCGGTGCGAGCGTGCGAAGAGACAAATCGAATATTGGGGCCCTCCCCCTGAGCTGACAACGCAGTCACTACGCCACTACGCCACTGACAACGCAGTCGCTACGCCACTGGTACACAGTGAATGTAAATTGCAGCAAGTTTCTAGAGACGCTTCGGGGCCATGGACCATTTCCGTGGGGGTCTCTCATCGCGCGCCAGCAACGAGCGGCCCCAAGCCGCAGGGTGACGCCGGTTGAGGGGCAGTGAAGGAGGGTGAGGGGCGGGGAGGGTGAGGGGTGGGGGGGTGAGGGGCGGGGGGGGGGTGAGGGGCGGGGAGGGTGAGGGATGGTGAGGGGGGGTGAGCGACGGGGGTGGTAAGGAGGGGGGTGAGGGGTGGTGAGGCGGGGCGGTGAGCGTTCACGTGAGCGAACGCAGGAGCTGCGGCGGCGGCGGTCAGCAGCAACAGCAGTCTCGGATATCGCTCGGGGCTTCGCTGAGAAGAAGCAGAGCGTGTGGTGCACGTGGCCCTGTGACGTCAGAGCGTGTGGTGCACGTGGCCCTGTGACGTCAGAGCGTGTGGTGCACGTGGCCCTGTGACATCAGAGCGTGTGGTGCACGTGGGGCCCTGTGACATCAGAGCGTGTGGTGCACGTGGGGCCCTGTGACATCAGAGCGTGTGGTGCACGTGGCCCTGTGACATCAGAGCGTGTGGTGCACGTGGCCCTGTGACATCAGAGCGTGTGGTGCACAAGGGGCCCTGTGACATCAGAGCGTGTGGTGCACGTGGCCCTGTGACATCAGAGCGTGTGGTGCACGTGGCCCTGTGACATCAGAGCGTGTGGTACACGTGGCTCTGTGACATCAGAGTGTGTGGTGCATGTGGCCCTGTGACATCAGAGCGTGTGGTGCACGTGGGGCCCTGTGACATCAGAGCGTGTGGTGCACGTGGGGCCCTGTGACATCAGAGCGTGTGGTGCACGTGGCCCTGTGACATCAGAGCGTGTGGTGCACGTGACCCTGTGACATCAGAGCGTGTGGTGCACGTGACCCTGTGACATCAGAGCGTGTGGTGCACGCGGGGCCCTGTGACATCAGAGTGTGTGGTGCACGTGGCCCTGTGACATCAGAGCGTGTGGTGCACGTGGCCCGTAACGCGGGTGACGTACGTCTGTCCTGTGTTGGTGGTGTGGCGGTTAGCTCGCTGCGCTTACGAACGAAGACGGTGGGCACCGCATTGCGTGCTTCCAGATGCGCTCCTCTGCTGCCATCTGGAACGCTCTTGCTTCCGATATAAGGAAACCACTGGAGCTGTGCGCTTTTAGATAATCATCTAGATTTAAAACTTATTTTTTATAGAGCTGCTTTTTGTGTGAATATCTGAACCGATCCTGAGCCTCCCCTAGGTCGACTCAGCCTCAACTGAGTACCTAATGCGGTGTGTGAACATTGCCACAAGAGGAGACAAAGGCGATCGGGCGTGGCGCTGGCCACCCACCCACCCCCTGGTGTGCCACAGTGCCGGATCGCTAACAGGACTTGCCCTGACAGTCTAAACAAAAAATACACTTTTTTTTAACCAGGTGAGGCCCACTGAGCTATGTAGATCTTTTTCACACGCGACCTGGCCGCATATGATAGCTGAACTAAGTGGCTTATCACGTGGATAGCCATCGGTCGAGTCGAATGAGTGCCAGCCAAAGAAAGGAACACACCTGAGAGTAAGTATCCTGCGGAGATGGAGCAATGAAATCAGCTCGGATGCAGAAGCTCAACGGGTTGTTGCGTCGTGAGAGCGTGAGACGCGGCGATAGCTTAAGGGAGGCCTTCATCCACCAGCCGACAGATCATGGTTGATGATGATGTTGTTGATCTGGGATCATAGTTCTGATATTCCACCACGTCTCACGATGTCTAGCCACGTGGTGCGCGTGCGGTCGTGAGTTGTTTCTTGCCGATGTCTCCACTGGGCAAAAAATGCCAATGAGAGGCATTTCAGCCACTTCAACAACACGTCAATCTGAGTTTAAGGACAAAAGTTAAACATCCTCCATCCCATCTCACCCTGCCCCCCGCCCCATGCCCCCCCCCCCACGCACTCTCCTACCTCTCCCCTCTCATCTCACTCCCCTCCACGTACTCTCCTGTCTCTCGCGTCTCAACTCACTCTACTCCTGTTGAATCTCAATGGGCTTCCTTCACTCTGCTGTGCTATTAAACGGGTGAGTTGTTAGGATCGGAGGAGTTCAGAATCTGAATCGGAATGTTTGTTTCTACTGGGGGAATCCGATGAGCTGTGAAGCTCTTTTTCACAGATGTCTGACGAGGGACAGGTAATTGTCACGTGTCACTTCACCCCATCCATAGGACGGGCTGCCCTCTAGAAAGGGTAACGGTGCAGCCCTGAAATGTCGCGCTGACGCCACCGCTGGCAAACAGGGCCTCTACTCGGGGAACTTCAATGAAGTTACACTGGACGGGAGTTTGGCCTACTCTTCCACACTGTGGTATTTCATAACTTTAAGACCCTAACCGGGCCTCGGTGTTGTGGGGAGAGCTGAGCAGCTGACGCGGCGAGGCGCGCTGGCAGATTCCGCCCAACGCGAGCGGGGGCCTCGAGGAGGCCCTCGACAGCTGGTGCCAGGGCCCCCCTCCCCTCGCGTGGAGGCCGAGGGGAGGGGTGACGCAGCTGCCAGCCCTCATCTGTCTGTCTGTCTGCGTTTGTTCTCAAGCCGTGCCTCTGGTAGTTGTTGTTTGTTGTTCTTTGGCACGATGTCCGACGTTTCGTTTCACGTGCTGGGAGCTTCTTAAGAAAACAATTTTTTTCGAGGCCAATGTGATAGAGCTGGATGAAGAGATTAATGTATCGTTGTTTGTTGTACCGATTGAAGTTAAATAGCGGCGATTTCCTGTTCAGAGGAGCATGGAGGCATTTATTGAGGCTCATCTCCCGTTTGCAGCCCTGATCAGCCAGTGGGGGAAAATCCACATTACTATGACGGGGGGGAGGGGGGGGGACGAATCTGTCCATAATCACCGTTGAATTTCCCACAAAGTAATACTCGTTTTATTGACCCCCATAAGCCGGGATAATTGGCTGAGTCAACCCCCGCCCCCAACGAGGATGCGAACTCTGAACCCGCTCGCCGCACCGCTGAGCCTCCTCGTCGGTTTTACGATTACGCAACAATAACAACAACAATAATAATGATGAATGATGAAACACCATTCATGATTTACTGATGCTCTCCGACGGTTCGGCTTGGGTCAGGGGCTGTCAACGTCGCAGCCCCTGCGACGTTGAAGATGAGTTGGGGCGAGGCGAGTTGGAGCGAGGCGAGTTGGGGCGAGGCGAGTTGGGGCGAGGCGAGTTGGGGCGAGGCGAGTTGGAGCGAGGCGAGTTGGGGCGAGGCGAGTTGGGGCGAGACGAGTTGGAGCGAGGCGCTGCGTTCGGAGTGACCGCGCGAAGCGCCTCGCTCGGCTCCACGAGACGACTCCCACGGGGAGTTGGAGCGACTTCAAGTTGCCGGTCGACGTTCGCAGCGAGGACGGCGACCCCCTCCCCCCCTCCCTCCCTCCCCCCCTCCCTCCCTCCCGTGACCCGTGGATCAAGCGAAGCGACTCGAGACGCCAGCGAGCGGCAGCTGAGAGCGGTCCACGCGAGCGCTGTCGCGAGAGGGCCACGGCGTTTGGCGCAGCGGCTCCCTCGCCAGCCGTGTGACGAGTGAGGATCCACTGCTGGGTGAAGGCCGCCTGCTCCTCTTTTCTCCTCTCTCCTCCTTCCTCCTCCCTCCTTCCTTCTCCTCCTCCTTCCTCCTTATCCTCATTCTCCTCCTCCTTCCTCCCTCCTCCTTCCTCCTCCTTCCTCCTCCTCCCCTCCTCCTTCCTCCCTCCTCCCTCCTCCCTCCTTCCTCCCTCCTCCTTCCTCCTCCTCCCTCCTCCTTCCTCCCTCCTCCTCCTTCCTCCCTCCTCCCTCCTCCTCCTTCCTCCTCTCTCTCCTCCTCCCTCCTCCCTCCTTCCTCCTCCTTCCTCCCTTCTTCTTCCTCCTCCTCCCTCCTCCTTCCTCCCTCCTCCCTCCTTCCTCCTCCCTCCTCCTCCTTGCTCCTTCCTCCTCCATCCTTCCTCCTCCTTTCTCCTCCTCCTTCCTCCTCCTTCCTCCTTCCTCCTCCTCCTTCTTCCTCCTCCCTCCTCCTCCTTCCTCCTCCCTCCTCCTCCTCCTCCCTCCTCCTCCTCCTCGTGGGAGGCTGCTGTGGACCCGCTTCCCTGTGCTGTGAACCGTGGAAGCCCAAATTTGATTCGCGTGCCGATTGATTTCTGACCCTTCCCCAGACCTCTCCCTCACCACCCAACCCCGGCGACCAGAGTGGTGAAGTATGGTCAAACAACTCACCCAACGGCGGTGAGTGACGGGTAATTAAAACTGCACGCGCGAATGTATCCTAAACGCATGCGGAATACCAATTGCATTGAGTCTGAACGAGAGTTGTACTTCTCTAACGCGTGTGGTGTCCCTTGTTGACTCCATGGCTCCCGTCAAAGGAACGTGGAATCTTCACCACCGTCTCAGGGTCACCAGTAGAGTTAGGCACAGCATGGAGAACTGCAGTTGCATCTGTTTGAAATCCGATTAGCACGTTTGGCTACGTACGGTGCGACAGAAGTTCCACGTAGTGTGTGCAGTGCAGTGTATACACGACGGCGTGGGTTGGCTAGCATCACGCCCGACGATGCTTACCACACACCGCACTAGGTACTCGTTTGAGGCTGAGTCTACCTAGGGGAGAACTGGTTCAGGTAATCTTCCCCTGGCATTGTGATGGCCCGGGTCGATGGCTGCCCCCCCCCCCCCCCCCACACGCACATAGTCGAGTTGGAGGGGGCTGTCGCAGGCGGGGTGCGTACATAGACAGCTGTTTCACGCGCACAGCTGCCACGGCCCGGCCACCTGTCACACAACACGCCCCGTCACCACCACCATCACCACCACCATCACCGCCACACTCGCCCATCACCATCACCGCCACACAGTCGCCGGGCACGTGGTTCCTCACCAAGGTAAGACTCCTATCAAAGTTATTTTACAACCATTTATTTTTTCTAAATGCTGTAATGCCTCTTTATTATTCATGACGTAGGTTGTTGGGTTAGTATAAATGAGTATAGTATAAATGTTGTGTCTTAACCCTCCACCACCCAACACCTATTCTGGCAAATGGCCCGAAGATGCTGGGCGATGTGATGACCGGCGAAACGTTATGGTACTCAGATTATAAACGTCGTGGATTCACTCTCCAACACACCGGTGGGATCTTAACTTAAAGCCACATAGACAGAAAAAAATAACCAAAAATATCGACGTTTCGATCGCAACACAAGCGGCCGTCTTCAGGAAAGACGAACGTCGATATTTTTGTTAATTTTTTTCTGTCTGCGTGGCTTTTCCGAAAGACCCAAAGAATATGAACACCGGAGGGATTGAAGTAGCGCACTCATTAGCACGCTATGTTTACGTGACAAAACCTTGCTGGCTGCGTTGGGTGGCTGAGGGTTACGACACAACATTTTTACTTACAGCGATCTAACCCAAGAAACTTTATTATGAATTGCATATTTGTCTCTAGCGATGTTGTAACACTAAACCCGACTTTTTTGAACACCACTCGTGGGCCACTCGGCCTCTTGGGAGCAAATCTTATCGCGATCATTGGGTTCGACACATTCGGTGTTGACATGAAGGGTCTCGTGATCAGTCGAGCGATGGTTTGCAACGAACCCAATTCTGGCGAACTGCCCGATGTTTGTAGAACCGAGGGGTTTGTGTTAAACGTGGAGACGCAAATATGTCAAGAATGCATTATTTATTTAGATCGCGTTTTAACATTCGCCAGCACCACCATCAGGCTCTGTGTTTCTGATTCAGCAATGAGCGGACTGAAGCTACAATTTGGGGCATGCAGTCGCAGGGCAGGGCTCGGAACACTGCAGAGGCGCAAAGTTATCGAGCGACGAAGCTTTGTGGCGTAATAAGCCGCTCGACTGTGAGCTCCATGATGAAAAAAGACGCGAATGCGATGCCGGGAAAGAGTTGGCGGCTGAGCGCTCACCCAGAGTGTGACAACGCCAGCGTCCGTGCGAGCGTTTCGAGTGTCTTTGGCTGATAAACATCTCCACGTGATAAGCCACTTCGTTGCGCGATCGTTTGTGGCCAGGTGGCGTCTGAAAAAAAGCTGTATAGCTCAGTGGGCCTTACTTGGCGAAACAGAAAAAAACAAGTTTATAGTCTTAAAGTTTTATTTGAGTGTCAAGATCGCAACCGTGACAGCACAGAGCGAATAAAGTCGACAACAATTCTTACCCGCAGCAGAGAAATACTCATTGTGGGCAGCCGCCTTTGGTTCCAGAGCACGAATGTATGTGTATGTTCAGTATAGTGGTGGAGTGTATGGTGTAGTGTATAGTGTAGTATATGCAGTGTAGTGTATGGTATACGATTTTTGTCCCCCCCCCCTTCGTCACGACGTCACAAAAAGTTAGACCCCCTCAAATATGACGTCACAAAGCTTTGCCCCCCCCCCCCAAAACATTTTTAACATGCTTCAAATCGCTTTAAACTATTGTCATTGTAGCACGTATTTAATGTGGCGCTGCACTCTGATGTTGTAGGAGAAAACATTTATTAAAAAGTCTATTTAATTAAGTAGAACGTGTTGTCTATATTTATTTAAAGTTGCGCATTTTGATGTGACGTCACATTTCTCAACCCCCCCCCCCCCTCGTCACACATCGTCACAAATATCTGACCCCCCCCTCCCCTAGGTGCGTGACGTCACGCACCTAAACACAAAACGCAGTTCTAAAGAATGTCGTTTTCAATTTAGTATCGTGGTGTAGGGTATAGTCGTATATTGTATGGTGTAGTGTATTGTAGTGTGCAGTATGTCTGTATGTTGAACTTCTTTCGCTCCGTACATAGCCAACCGATTCAACTGCAGTTCTCCATGCCGCGCGTAACTCTACTGGTGGCCCCGAGACGGTGGTGGAAATTCCACCTTCCTGTGACGGGAGCCACGGACTCAAAGAGGAACACCGAGTGCAGTCGACTCTCGTTGTGAAGCCAACCGTGATCACCGGAGGCGGCGTGTTGTGTGGGGACAGCAGGTCCCACACTCACCACTGCCCCTCCACGTGTGTCTTGTCGCCAAAGGATCTCCGTGGGTCTCCGTGGGCTGACTCGACGGCCGTGGCTTGCGTCTTTAAAAATGTTCCGTTCGCGAAGGCGATGTGCGCATCGGTCCGTCGATGTTGCGATGCCGTGGATGGTTCCACGAGCAGCGTCTTCCGAGGGTTTGTCAAAGCCAGGAGGCGCGAGGTTTGCAAGAGGAAAAGCGACAATAGCTCAACGCATTCACCAACAACACTGGCCTGAAGAGGCAAACAGCTGTTACGAGAGACAACCTTTTGTGAAATAGCTCGTTGGTCTATCTGCTACGGAGAAGGGGCATTGCCCGTAACGTCGCCTCTTATCTCTCTCGCTCTCTCTCTCTCTTCATTTTAGGGAAGTACAGTTTTAGAAATACATAAACAAAATAACACACAAAACGGTCCGTTGACGAATATTTTCGTCGCTAATTTGAGTGAGCGAACTGAAACACGGGCGGCAAGGCAGACGACACTGAGGGCGCGTTGCGTGGTCTGCGTGGCACGGCCAGATGGGCTCCATCCTGGTCAAGATGTTTCTGCCCACGATCAGCGGCCTCGCATTCCTGCCCACCGTCAGCATCGCCGCCAAGCGCCGCTTCCACATCGAGGCCATGGTCTACTTCTTCACCATGTTCTTCATCACGGTGCGGGCCACCTAGCCACGTACACACATACACACCCACCTACCCACCTACCAACCTACCCACCCACCTTCCCACCCACGTACACACCCACCTACCCATCCACGTACACACCCACATACACACCCACCTACCCACATACACACCCACCTACCCATATACACACCCAATTACCCACATACACACCCACTTCCCCGCATACACACCCATCTACCCACATACACACCCACCTACCCACCCACCCACCTACCAACCTACCCACCCAACTTCCCACCCACCTACCCACCCACCTACCCACCCACGTACACACCCACCTACCCACGTACACACCCACATACACACCCACCCACCTACCCACCCACATACCCACCTACCTACCCACCCACCTACCCACCCACCTACCCGCCACACGCCAGTAGTCGAGTTGGTGTGTAGTGGGGAGGGGGTACACACAGGGCCATCGCAGTGCGTGGTCGTCCTCGTCCACAACGCCGCTTTGTTTGGGTTACTCCCTTGCTCCTCTTCGCTCCCTGTGGAGCAGCAGGCCGCAAACAAGTCCACGACATGCGGGACCGTCTTCAGCAGCTTTCTCTGCTTCGCCTAAGGGGCCGTCCATAAATGACGTCACGCACCTGGGGGGGGGGGGGGGGGGGTCAGACATTTGTGACGATGTGTGACGAGGGGAGGGAGGGGGGGTTGAGAAGTGTGACGTCACATCAAAATGCGCAACTTTAAATAAATATAGACAACACGTTCTACCTAATAAAATATACTTTTTAATCAATGTTTTATCCTACAACATCAGAGTGCAGCGCCACATTAAATACGCACTACAATGACAATAGTTTAAAGCGATTTGAAGCATGTTTAAAAAAAAAATTGGGGGGGGGGGGCAGAGCTTTGTAACGTCATATTTGAGGGGGGGCTGACTTTTTGTGAAGCCGTGACGATGGGGGGGGGGGGGTCAAAAATCGTCCAAAATCGCGTGACGTCATTTATGGACGGCCCCTAAGCCAGGCACCCCCGTGGTCTCTGGTTGGTCTTGGACAGTGCCGTCGCCACGTGCTCCACGACCTGCCCCGTGGCCTGTTAGCGGCGTCCACCCTAGGACAGCTGTCGCTACGCGCTCGGGTTCCATTCTCAGCCACGTGTCCCAGCCACCAGAGTCGTCTCTCTGTTACGACCCGCGTGATGCACCTTGAATTGTTTGGGTCCGGTCGCGTAAATACAATTGTGTCGTGAAACCCGCCACCACCCGACACACCGGTGTGCTGAAGCAGTAACTAATTGGCACGTTTTGTTTACGTGACAAACCCTCTTACTAATTGGCCGTGTTCGGTGGTGATGGCGGGTTTTATGACGCATTCATATTCACATGATCTAACCACAAAACACATTTATCGTGGATATTGTCCATCGTGAACGCCTACCACGACCACGTGGATATTGTCCATCGTGAACGCCTACCACGACTACGTGGATAATGTCCATCGTGAATGCCTACCACGACTACGTGGATATTGTCCATCGTGAACGCCTACCACGACTACGTGGATAATGTCCATCGTGAACGCCTACCACGACTACGTGGATAATGTCCATCGTGAACGCCTACCACGACTACGTGGATAATGTCCATCGTGAACGCCTACCACGACTACGTGGATAATATCCATCGTGATCGCCTACCACGACCACGTGGATAATATCCATCGTGAACGCCTACCACGACTACGTGGATAATATCCATCGTGAACGCCTACCACGACTACGTGGATAATATCCATCGCGAGCGCCTACCACGACTACGTGGATAATATCCATCGTGAACGCCTACCACGATTACGTGGATAATATCCATCGTGAACGCCTACCACGACTACGTGGATAATATCCATCGTGAACGCCTACCACGACTATGTGGATAATTTGGCAGTGGCAAGGCCCATAGTGTAGTGTATAGTGAAGTGTGTATAGTGTAGTGTATAGTGTAGTGTATAGTGAAGTGTGTATAGTGTAGTGTAGAATGTAGTGTATAGTGTAGTGCAGCGTGTACTGTGTGTATAGTGTAGTGTGTGTAGATTGTAGTGTATAGTGTAGTATACGGTGCTAATCGGCGGTGCGGGGGGGGAAAGGACAACAAACTAAACACAGCGTTTGCCCTGCTGTGCCCCCCCCCCCCCCCCCCCCAGTGCTACCACGTCTGCGATGGCCTGGGCTTCCTCTCCATCTGCATCATGCGCTCCGAGCTGCTCGAGTACTTCAGCGTGTACGGCATCGCGCTCTCCATCTGGGTCACGCTCATCGGTGGGCACCCCCTCCCCTCCCGGCTCCCCCCCACCGGCTCCCCCCTGCCCCCTCGGCTTCCCCCCCCCCCCTGCCCCTCACCGCCTTCTCGCCCCTTTCAGCGAACGAGACCTACACTAAAACTTAACAATGTTTATTTTTACCCAGGTAAGGCCCACTGAGCCGTACAGCTCTCTTTTTTTCCAGAAGCGACCTGGCCATCACAAATGATCGCTCAGCAAAGTGGGCTTATTGTCATCATCGTGCGGACATTCATGGTTGCAGCCAAATACTCTAAACGCGTGATGTGGTTTCTAAATGTGGAGGGAAAAACCGGAGGAGCCGGAGAAAAATCCACGCGACCACGGGGCGAGAGAGAGAGACGCAAACTCCAAATATACAGCAGCAGGCATCAGGATCGGGATCGAACCCACGACCTCCTGTATACCAGGGGAGGTAGTTAACATGTTGGCACCCTTGAACTGGTCCTGAGCCTCTCCTGCATCGACTCGGCCTCAAGAATGAGCGCCTGGGCGCGGTGTGGCAACGTGACCACTGGGGAGACGAGGGCGCCACGCTGGCTAGGAGATGTTTACTGCCTCGCCAGGTATACAGGAGGTCGTGGGTTCGATCGGGACCCCGACGCCTGCTGCTGCATATTTGAAGTCTGCGTGTCTCTCTCCCCGTGGTCGCGTGGATTTTTCTCCCTCCAGATTTAGCATCAACGTCACGCGTTTAGAGTCTTTGGCTGCTGTACATATCCACGTGATAAGCCCACCTAGTGGAGCTATCGTTCGTGGCCAGGTCTCTTCTGAAAAAATAGCCACATAGCCCAGCGGGCCTTACCTGGTAAAATAAAAAAATATAGTTTCTAGTTAAATAGTTTGTAAGGTGCTAATCACCCAGCACCATCGCGTGCCGTGCCGGTCCTTCACAGGTGCTCGCTAAAGGCACTTGCCCCAAACACATTGTTCGAGGCTACACGGGGGATCTTTGTCTTTGCTATGATGCCTATGAACCCGGCGACCTGAATTTGAACCCTCGGCCACGGACGACTTCAGACCGGGTTCTGGCCTTCCCGTAAGTCGACTCAGCCTCAAATGAGTTACCTGACGTGGTGAGAAAGCAGGTGGGCACGCGGGGTGCTGATGTAGCTTGGAGTAGAATGTAAACTCTCTGCATTGACACAAGTTGTACGATCGTAAAAATGATGATGATATCGGGGATGGTGATGATGCCATTACAAGGATGAACCTGCTTATGCTGCTCCTGTTGTTCCTGTTGCTGCTGCTGCTAGAGATGATGATAATAATGATGCTGCTGGTTATGACAATGATGTTGTTTCTAATAATGACCATAATGATTGTGATGACGATGGACAAACATGCTGCTGATGATGCTGCTGATGATGTTGATGCTGATGATGACGTTGATAACAATGGCAAATGCTGTAGCTGATGCTGACATGATGCAGCTGATGATGATTGTTACTACAGTACTGCTATTGATCATGATGATGACCATATTGATGATGATGATGATAATGATGACAATCCGGCTGTTAACAGTGACCGGACAGTGCTGCTGATGATGATGTTGCTGCTGCTGATGATAATGATGATTTTGCTGCTGCTGATGATAATGATGATGTTGTTGCTGCTGATGTTGTTGCTGCTGCTGATGATGATAATGATGATGTTGCTGCTGCTGATGATAATGATGATGTTGTTGCTGCTGATGTTGCTGCTGCTGGTGATGTTAATGATGATGATGTTGCTGCTGCTGATGATAATGATGATGATGATGTTGCTGCTGCTGCTGCTGATGATGACGGTGGGCACGCGCCAGCCCTAGGAGAATTCGAGGAGCCGCAGCGGCTCGCCGTGGTGATGGCGGGCGTCCTGGGCATCGCCGTGCGCGTCCACGAGGACAGCTGGGGCACGGGCGTCTACGCAGGGCCCATCGTGGCCGCCCTGCTGCTGCTGGCCCTCAAACACGTGAGGAGGCCCGCGGGGAGCACGGGGCCAGCCCGCTGTGGCCCAGCCGTGGCGGGGGTGGGTGGGCAAGGCTGCCACCCTTGTTTGTCCAAGGGGTCTGAGAACGATGAATTCTCGAAAATCCGCTCCGAGAGGGCCTCGCTCCACCATGGGCAGATCGGCGGCTCGGTCCACCGCCTGCTGTGTGTGCGGCTGCCAACTCCAAAATCCGTGGAGCGCACACACGAACCTCGGCACAGCGCTGGCTGGGTGGGTGGGTCTGTGAGTGGGTGGGTGAGTTAGCGTGGGTGGGTGAGTTAGCGTGGGTGGGTGGATGAGTTAGTGAGTGTGTCGGTGTGTGGGTGAGTGGGAGCGTGTGTGGGTAGGTGGGTGAGTGAGTGGGTGGGTGAGTTAGCGTGGGTGGGTGAGTTAGCGTGGGTGGGTGGATGAGTTAGTGAGTGTGTCGGTGTGTGGGTGAGTGGGAGCGTGTGTGGGTAGGTGGGTGAGTGAGTGGGTGGGTGAGTTAGCGTGGGTGGGTGAGTTAGCGTGGGTGGGTGGATGAGTTAGTGAGTGTGTCGGTGTGTGGGTGAGTGGGAGCGTGTGTGGGTAGGTAGGTGAGTGAGTGAGTGCGTGGGTGAGTGAGTGGGTGAGTGAGTGAGTGAGTGGGTGAGTGAGTGAGTGGGTGAATGAGTGGGTGAGTGAGTGGGTGAGTGAGTGGGTGAGTGAGTGGGTGAGTGAGTGAGTGAGTGGATGAGTGAGTGGGTGAGTGAGTGAGTGGGTGAGTGAGTGAGTGGGTGAGTGAGTGGGTGAGTGAGTGGGTGAGTGAGTGGGTCAGTGAGTGAGTGAGTTAGTGAGTGAGTGAGTTAGTGAGTGAGTGAGTGGGTGAGTGAGTGGGTGAGTGAGTGAGTGGGTGAGTGAGTGAGTGAGTGGGTGAGTGAGTGGGTGAGTGAGTGAGTGAGTGGGTGAGTGAGTGAGTGGGTGAGTGAGTGGGTGAGTGAGTGAGTGAGTGGGTGAGTGAGTGAGTGGGTGAGTGAGTGAGTGGGTGAGTGAGTGGGTGAGTGAGTGGGTGAGTGAGTGAGTGAGTTAGTGAGTGAGTGAGTGGGTGAGTGAGTGGGTGAGTGAGTGAGTGGGTGAGTGAGTGAGTGGGTGAGTGAGTGGGTGAGTGAGTGGGTGAGTGAGTGAGTGGGTGAGTGAGTGAGTGGGTGAGTGAGTTAGCGCTACGCTGCGCCACGAACCTGGCGACTCGAGGTTCGATTCCCGCTCACGGCCAACACCAGCGACGGTTATCTGAACCGGTCCTGGGCCTCCCCTAGGTCGACTCGGTCTCAAATAAGTACCCTGGTGTGGCCGGGCGTGGTGCTGGCCACCCTCCCCCTCGTGCGCCGTGCCGGCCTTCATAGGCGTTCGCGAACAACACTTGCCCCTAGAGTCTGACCAGGCTACGCGCGGGGGGAGGGGCGGGGGGAGACCTCTTGCCTTTGTCTTGTCTCCATCAGACGAAGAAGATGATCCAACTGAGGGCGTTCCTCCCTTCCCGCAAGGTCTACACGCACCACCTGGGCCCGGGGATCTGCTTCCTCGTGCTCGCGTTCACTCTGCGCTTCTATTTCCAGGTGCGCGAGTTCCCAGCTTGAGCCGAGAGGGATAAGAGCCGGGGATGGGAGCTCCCCATCCCCACGCGGCCGTCACCTTGAGGCCGGCGAGGCGATGGGCCAGTGGTCGAGCGTTCGCGGTTCGAATCCGGCGGGCCGCCCCGGTTATAACGGGGGCGGGGCTATCCATCCGTGCGGCCACGAATTCAAACTTAAACTAAAAACTCAACTGATTTTATTTTTCATAATATCGTTTTTTTTGGGTTATCCATAATATAGTTTTTTTTTGGGTTGGATCGAGTAAATATAAATGTGTTGTTAAACCCGCCACCACCCGACACAGCCAATCAGTAAAGTTTGTCACGTAAACACAACGTGGCCAATTCGTTACTAGTACAGCAGCACACCGGTGAGTTGGAGAGCAAAGCGACAACATTTACAATCTGAGCACGACGTTTCGCCAGTCATTACAACCACCTTCATCAGGCGACAGCCCCACTGAGCTCTAGAGATCGTTTTTAAAAGCGACCTGGCTATCACGAATGATCGAGCTCGACGCTGTGGCATAGCATGTTGGCATGTGTAGCAGCCAAATATACTCTTCGTTCGATCACTAGCTTAAAGCCACTGCTGCAAGGATGACAGGAGTTGTTCGCGTGATGATGTTTTTTGTTTGTTTCTTGACGAGATGAGCAAAGCATTGCGTCCGACCGCTAAACTGCCACGGGAGAAGTCTGTGAAACTGTTAGCGCTTTCCTTCGTGATAGCCGTGCGCCTTGAGAATGATAGCACCAGCCGCAAATTGTAGAGCATTACGAATTATAATTGTTTGTGTCGTCGTAATCATCATCAACGCAGTAAAATTATTATGACATCGGATTTGTAACGCTTACCAAAATTGCTCTGAGAGAATTAGAGACTGCGGATGATTGAGAGTCATGGGAAACCACAGACAAGTGCTGGGAAGGCAGCCAGAACTCGTGCCTACAATTTCCCAAGCTCTGTGGACCTATATTGGGATGCTTGCCCAACATGATCACCACCATTACCATCATAACCATGGCATAATGCTCACGATATTCGGGACTTCATTGCTCACCTGACATTTTCGGGAACGCATGAACCATCATCACGGGAACTCCTCCGGCCGTCATCCTCACAGCAGCGGCTGCAGCTCTTGGCTGCTGCATCGCGCGGCGCTTTCAGATGCGCTTCCGCGGCCGTCTGGAACGCTCTTCCCTTCCGATGTTATGAGGCCACTGGAGCTGTGCACTTTAAAATAATCTAAATTGAAAACTAATTTCTTTAGAACTGCTTTTTGTGTTTGGTTTGTTGTCCTTCCCCCGCACCTCCGATTAGCTCGGTTGGCTAAGTACGTTGCAAACGAAGTTCAACATATGTACATACTCGATTGGCTTGGAGTGGGTATTATCAATCAGCATAAGGCTCTATCAGCAGAGTACAAGGTAATGCTGTCCATAATAATCGTACATTATTGTACCCTCTATTGCTATAAGGAACACGAGGATAGAACATGGTGATGTGGGTGTGCCGTGCCCAATACGCCCAGTGCAATGTTCCACACTTTTCTGACAGAAATCAAATACAGTACTGTGTCGCCAGAAACATCAACATCATCATCAGCGGCATCAGCAGCATTATCACCAACAACTACCGCCATTCGCCTCTAATTGGCGGGGGCGTCACCACGGCGCTTGTGCCAGGCCATGTGCACGTTGAGGCCACGTGAAGTGTCGAACGCCCGCTGGCTGGAGGTCACGGGGCAGACCCTGCAGGTGCCACGGGTTGACTGACTGAGATGAGTGGCCGATGCACCACCTGTGCCCCCTACTGTGCCAACTTGCTATGGTTTATCCGCTCCGCTCGTCGTTGTGAGCGTCGCTCCTCTCCCTTCCGCTGTTGCTCCACATAATCTTGTACCACATCACTCCATCTCCTCTCTAGCCCGTGCCGCGCCCGTTTAGCCCCCTCTATGCGGCCAAAGAAAATATGTTTCGGCATGCGGTGGCTGGCTATGCGGGCTACATAACCCAGCCAACGCAGCCTTGCCTGCGGGAAGAGCTCACCGATCGGACTTGGCATTATCACGACCACTACCATCATGATCGTCATCATCAGCATCATAATCATTACCAGCAGCAACAACATCATTACCGCCACATTATCATCAGCAGAGGCAGCACGTGGATCAACATTAGCAGCAACAGCAGCAGAATTAACAATACCACTACCATCATGATTATATTATTATTATCATCATCATAAAAATCATGATCATAATTATCAGCAGCATCAACACCATTATCAATCAACCCCCATTACCAACATCATCATACTTTTTTCAGGGGTGCGTAAAATGAGAACTGCATACCACCGTTGATTGGCAGGTCGCCTGCGTGCCGGGGAGAGTGCGTGCACTTCCACTTATTATTCATTGAAATGTTTTTTATTTTACCAGGTAAAGCCTATATCCTTAGCTCTTTCGGTAAAGTCACGTTGACTTTACCGAAAGAGCTAAGAATATGAATTACTGCAGTCACGAAAGCTTTAAATCAGGTAAACGCCTGTTGAGCAGCAGTTTTTTTTTTAGAAGCGAATTGGCCACAAATGATAGCTCAACCAAGTGGATTATTAATTAGGGAGAACAATCCACGCGACCACGGGGAGACAGAGAGACACACAAACTCCAACTATACAGCAGCAGGCGTCGTCAGGGTCGGAGTTCATCCAAGACACCCGACCATCGTGGAAGAGTAGGCCAAAAGCAACCCCTGTTGGAGCGAACTCTCGAGCTGCGTGGTAGCGGAGCCCCACACCCCTGCCCGTCAACCGGCAGCTAACAGCCAAGCAGTTGCCTGGTCCGCGCCTTTACCTTTCAGTAATCGCCAGCGACGCTTTATTGTTACAGCTCACGCCATCAACTCGGTCCCGGCAACCAAATTGCGGCGGCGGCGTCGTTGTTGGTTCAGGTTGAGAGAGCCGCGCAATAATTAGGCGATCCACGAAATCCGAAACAGGTGCCCGGCCCCACCGCCGCTCCGAGCTGGGGGCCAACCGAAACGCCGCCCTCACACTCGCAGCGCTCGCGCGCCCCATCGACGATGACGACGAAGACGATGACGACGACGATGACGAAGCGCCCGAGACGGCACGCGCGGAGCTCCACACGCGATGCGGAGGACCCCCCCCCCCACCGACCCCCCCACCCCGGAGCGGGCGGGCGGGGGAGGGGGAACGATCGAGCAATTACGGAGGGGCTCGCGAGCGGTGGCAGCGTTGCGTCGTTAATTACGTCGGTGGGGGGGGGGGGGGGGGCTGTTGGGGGGAGGGGCTGCTGGGGGTGGGGGGGGGGGCTGCTGGGGGTGGGGGGCTGCTGGGGGTGGGGGGGGGCTGCTGGGGATGGGGGGCGCGTGTTGTGTCTGGCGCCGCGGGCTGAGCGGGCAGAGGTGAAACGAGGGCTCCGTTTGCGAGCGGTCACTGCGTGAGGAGTCCATGGACTGAGTGAGTCCATGGACTCACTCAGTCCATGGACTCACTCAGTCCAGTGAGTCCATGGACTCACTCAGTCCATGGACTCACTCAGTCCATGGACTGAGTGAGTCCATGGACTCACTCAGTCCATGGACTCACTCAGTCCATGGACTGAGTGAGTCCATGGACTGAGTGAGTCCATGGACTGAGTGAGTCCATGGACTCACTCAGTCCAGTGAGTCCATGGACTCACTCAGTCCATGGACTCACTCAGTCCATGGACTCACTCAGTCCATGGACTCACTCAGTCCAGTGAGTCCATGGACTCACTCAGTCCATGGACTCACTCAGTCCATGGACTCACTCAGTCCATGGACTCACTCAGTCCATGGACTCACTCAGTCCAGTGAGTCCATGGACTCACTCAGTCCATGGACTCACTCAGTCCATGGACTCACTCAGTCCATGGACTCACTCAGTCCAGTGAGTCCATGGACTCACTCAGTCCATGGACTCACTCAGTCCATGGACTCACTCAGTCCAGTGAGTCCATGGACTCACTCAGTCCATGGACTCACTCAGTCCATGGACTGAGTGAGTCCATGGACTGAGTGAGTCCATGGACTCACTCAGTCCATGGACTCACTCAGTCCATGGACTCACTCAGTCCAGTGAGTCCATGGACTCACTCAGTCCATGGACTCACTCAGTCCATGGACTCACTCAGTCCATGGACTCACTCAGTCCATGGACTCACTCAGTCCAGTGAGTCCATGGACTCACTCAGTCCATGGACTCACTCAGTCCATGGACTCACTCAGTCCAGTGAGTCCATGGACTCACTCAGTCCATGGACTCACTCAGTCCATGGACTCACTCAGTCCAGTGAGTCCATGGACTCACTCAGTCCATGGACTCACTCAGTCCATGGACTCACTCAGTCCATGGACTCACTCAGTCCATGGACTCACTCAGTCCAGTGAGTCCATGGACTCACTCAGTCCATGGACTCACTCAGTCCATGGACTCACTCAGTCCAGTGAGTCCATGGACTCACTCAGTCCATGGACTCACTCAGTCCATGGACTGAGTGAGTCCATGGACTCACTCAGTCCATGGACTCACTCAGTCCATGGACTGAGTGAGTCCATGGACTGAGTGAGTCCATGGACTGAGTGAGTCCATGGACTCACTCAGTCCAGTGAGTCCATGGACTCACTCAGTCCATGGACTCACTCAGTCCATGGACTCACTCAGTCCATGGACTCACTCAGTCCAGTGAGTCCATGGACTCACTCAGTCCATGGACTCACTCAGTCCATGGACTCACTCAGTCCATGGACTCACTCAGTCCATGGACTCACTCAGTCCAGTGAGTCCATGGACTCACTCAGTCCATGGACTCACTCAGTCCATGGACTCACTCAGTCCATGGACTCACTCAGTCCAGTGAGTCCATGGACTCACTCAGTCCATGGACTCACTCAGTCCATGGACTCACTCAGTCCATGGACTCACTCAGTCCATGGACTCACTCAGTCCATGGACTGAGTGAGTCCATGGACTGAGTGAGTCCATGGACTCACTCAGTCCATGGACTCACTCAGTCCATGGACTCACTCAGTCCAGTGAGTCCATGGACTCACTCAGTCCATGGACTCACTCAGTCCATGGACTCACTCAGTCCATGGACTCACTCAGTCCATGGACTCACTCAGTCCAGTGAGTCCATGGACTCACTCAGTCCATGGACTCACTCAGTCCATGGACTCACTCAGTCCAGTGAGTCCATGGACTCACTCAGTCCATGGACTCACTCAGTCCATGGACTCACTCAGTCCAGTGAGTCCATGGACTCACTCAGTCCATGGACTCACTCAGTCCATGGACTCACTCAGTCCATGGACTCACTCAGTCCATGGACTCACTCAGTCCAGTGAGTCCATGGACTCACTCAGTCCATGGACTCACTCAGTCCATGGACTCACTCAGTCCAGTGAGTCCATGGACTCACTCAGTCCATGGACTCACTCAGTCCATGGACTCACTCAGTCCATGGACTCACTCAGTCCAGTGAGTCCATGGACTCACTCAGTCCATGGACTCACTCAGTCCATGGACTCACTTAGTCCAGTGAGTCCATGGACTCACTCAGTCCATGGACTCACTCAGTCCATGGACTCACTCAGTCCATGGACTCCTCACACAGAGACCCGTAGACTCCTCACACAGAGACCCGTAGACTCCTCACACAGAGACCCGTAGACTCACACAGAGACCCGTAGACTCCTCACACAGAGACCCGTAGACTCACATAGAGACCCGTAGACTCCTCACACAGAGACCCGTAGACTCCTCACACAGAGACCCGTAGACTCCTCACACAGAGACCCGTAGACTCACACAGAGACCCGTAGACTCCTCACACAGAGACCCGTAGACTCCTCACACAGAGGACCCGTAGACTCACATAGAGACCCGTAGACTCCTCACACAGAGACCCGTAGACTCCTCACACAGAGACCCGTAGACTCCTCACACAGAGACCCGTAGACTCCTCACACAGAGACCCGTAGACTCCTCACACAGAGACCCGTAGACTCACACAGAGACCCGTAGACTCCTCACACAGAGACCCGTAGACTCACATAGAGACCCGTAGACTCCTCACACAGAGACCCGTAGACTCCTCACACAGAGACCCGTAGACTCCTCACACAGAGACCCATAGACTCCTCACACAGAGACCCGTAGACTCCTCACACAGAGACCCGTAGACTCCTCACACAGAGACCCGTAGACTCCTCACACAGAGACCCGTAGACTCCTCACACAGAGACCCGTAGACTCCTCACACAGAGACCCGTAGACTCACATAGAGACCCGTAGACTCCTCACACAGAGACCCGTAGACTCCTCACACAGAGACCCGTAGACTCCTCACACAGAGACCCGTAGACTCCTCACACCGAGACCCGTAGACTCCTCACACAGAGACCCGTAGACTCCTCACACAGAGACCCGTAGACTCCTCACACAGAGACCCGTAGACTCCTCACACAGAGACCAGTAGACTCACATAGAGACCCGTAGACTCCTCACACAGAGACCCGTAGTCTCCTCACACAGAGACTCGTAGACTCCCACACAGAGACCCGTAGACTCCTCACACAGAGACCCGTAGACTCCTCACACAGAGACCCGTAGACTCCTCACACAGAGACCCAGAGACTCACACAGAGACCCGTAGACTCCTCACACAGAGACCCGTAGACTCCTCACACAGAGACCCGTAGACTCCTCACACAGAGACCCGTAGACTCACATAGAGACCCGTAGACTCCTCACACAGAGACCCGTAGACTCCTCACACAGAGACCCGTAGACTCCTCACACAGAGACCCGTAGACTCCTCACACAGAGACCCGTAGACTCCTCACACAGAGACCCGGAGACTCCTCACACAGAGACCCGTAGACTCCTCACACAGAGACCCGTAGACTCCTCACACAGAGACCCGTAGACTCACATAGAGACCCGTAGACTCCTCACACAGAGACCCGTAGACTCCTCACACAGAGACCGGTAGACTCCTCACACAGAGACCCGTAGACTCCTCACACAGAGACCCGTAGACTCCTCACACAGAGACCCGTAGACTCCTCACACAGAGACCCGTAGACTCCTCACACAGAGACCCGTAGACTCCTCACACAGAGACCAGTAGACTCACATAGAGACCCGTAGACTCCTCACACAGAGACCCGTAGTCTCCTCACACAGAGACTCGTAGACTCCCACACAGAGACCCGTAGACTCCTCACACAGAGACCCGTAGACTCCTCACACAGAGACCCGTAGACTCCTCACACAGAGACCCAGAGACTCACACAGAGACCCGTAGACTCCTCACACAGAGACCCGTAGACTCCTCACACAGAGACCCGTAGACTCCTCACACAGAGACCCGTAGACTCCTCACACAGAGACCCGTAGACTCACATAGAGACCCGTAGACTCCTCACACAGAGACCCGTAGACTCCTCACACAGAGACCCGTAGACTCCTCACACAGAGACCCGTAGACTCACCTAGAGACCCGTAGACTCCTCACACAGAGACCCGTAGACTCCTCACACAGAGACCCGTAGACTCACATAGAGACCCGTAGACTCCTCACACAGAAACCCGTAGACTCCTCACACAGAGACCCGTAGACTCACATAGAGACCCGTAGACTCCTCACACAGAGACCCGTAGACTCCTCACACAGAGACCCGTAGACTCCTCACACAGAGACCCGTAGACTCCTCACACAGAGACCCGTAGACTCACATAGAGACCCAGAGACTCACACAGAGACCCATAGACTCCTCACACAGAGACCCGTAGACTCCTCACACAGAGACCCGTAGACTCCTCACACAGAGACCCGTAGACTCCTCACACAGAGACCCGTAGACTCACATAGAGACCCAGAGACTCACACAGAGACCCGTAGACTCCTCACACAGAGACCCGTAGACTCACATAGAGACCCGTAGACTCCTCACACAGAGACCCATAGACTCCTCACACAGAGACCCGTAGACTCCTCACACAGAGACCCGTAGACTCCTCACACAGAGACCCACAGACTCACACAGAGACCCGTAGACTCCTCACACAGAGACCCACAGACTCACACAGAGACCCGTAGACACCCTCACACAGAGACCCGTAGACTCCTCACACAGAGACCCATAGACTCACTCACACAGAGACCCACAGACTCACACAGAGACCCGTAGACTCCTCACACAGAGACCCGTAGACTCACATAGAGACCCATAGACTCCTCACACAGAGACCCGTAGACTCACATAGAGACCCGTAGACTCACATAGAGACCCGTAGACTCCTCACACAGAGACCCGTAGACTCCTCACACAGAGACCCAGAGACTCACACAGAGACCCATAGACTCCTCACACAGAGACCCGTAGACTCCTCACACAGAGACCCGTAGACTCCTCACACAGAGACCCGTAGACTCACATAGAGACCCGTAGACTCCTCACACAGAGACCCGTAGACTCCTCACACAGAGACCCGTAGACTCACATAGAGACCCGTAGACTCCTCACACAGAAACCCGTAGACTCCTCACACATAGACCCGTAGACTCACATAGAGACCCGTAGACTCCTCACACAGAGACCCGTAGACTCCTCACACAGAGACCCGTAGACTCCTCACACAGAGACCCGTAGACTCCTCACACAGAGACCCGTAGACTCCTCACACAGAGACCCGTAGACTCACATAGAGACCCAGAGACTCACACAGAGACCCATAGACTCCTCACACAGAGACCCGTAGACTCCTCACACAGAGACCCGTAGACTCCTCACACAGAGACCCGTAGACTCCTCACACAGAGACCCGTAGACTCACATAGAGACCCAGAGACTCACACAGAGACCCGTAGACTCCTCACACAGAGACCCGTAGACTCACATAGAGACCCGTAGACTCCTCACACAGAGACCCATAGACTCCTCACACAGAGACCCGTAGACTCCTCACACAGAGACCCGTAGACTCCTCACACAGAGACCCACAGACTCACACAGAGACCCGTAGACTCCTCACACAGAGACCCACAGACTCACACAGAGACCCGTAGACACCCTCACACAGAGACCCGTAGACTCCTCACACAGAGACCCATAGACTCACTCACACAGAGACCCACAGACTCACACAGAGACCCGTAGACTCCTCACACAGAGACCCGTAGACTCACATAGAGACCCGTAGACTCCTCACACAGAGACCCGTAGACTTCTCACACAGAGACCCGTAGACTCCTCACACAGAGACCCGTAGACTCACATAGAGACCCAGAGACTCACACAGAGACCCATAGACTCCTCACACAGAGACCCGTAGACTCCTCACACAGAGACCCGTAGACTCTTCACACAGAGACCCGTAGACTCCTCACACGGAGATCGTTTCGGGATGCCACCTGCCCCAGTTTGACCCATTCAACTCCACTTGGTTTCCAGCACTGCAGGCCCAGTATGCTGCTGCTAAGCACTGTTGTCAAGAGAGAGAGACATCGGCACACAGTCTTAGTAAGGGAACGTTTCTTTGCGTCTTTTTAAAATTATTATTTTCACAACTGAATCTCGATTTCTGTTCTATTGGCACCGTGTCACCAGACACAGACATTCCCATTTGACAACCTCTGCAGAGGACATCGAAACACCCCAGCGGTTGCCACCTGTGGGGGCCTCGCCCGGTGCAGTCTGGGAATGGCACATCGCCGTCGTGGTCGGTCGGCAAGGAATTTGATTTGCTCCGAGTTCCTTCCTGGTCGTGTCATTGCGTTGAACTGGAGCATCGCCTCCCGCGGAGGTCTCGTGAAAGACCTCGTGCCGACTACGTACGTATGTTGAACTTCTTTCGCACCGTACAGTACGTAGCCAACCGTGCTAATCGGAGATGCGGGCGGGGGGGGGGGACCATACTAAACACAAAAAGAAGTTCTAAAGAAATTAGTTTTCAATCTAGATTGTTTAAAAGTGCATAGTTCGCAGCGGCTTCATAATATCGGAAGAAAGAGCGTTCCAGACGGCCGCGAAAGCGCATCGGAAATCGCGCGATGCGGTGACCACCGCCTTCTTCGATGGCCACTCCCTGAGGCTTCATAATCTCGAGAGATTAAATGAAAACCCCAACACATTCGTCAATAACGCTGCCATCTGCTGTGAATGAGAGCCATTGCCGATGACACATATCCCTTGAAGGCCAGGCGGTGTTGTTTTCGACGGGGGTGTCGAGTTTGTTGTTGTTCTGTTGTTATTGTTGTTCTGTTGTTATTGTTGTTCTGTTGTTATTGTTGTTCTGTTGTTATTGTTGTTCTGTTGTTATTGTTGCTCTGTTGTTATTGTTGTTCTGTTGTTATTGTTGTTCTGTTGTTATTGTTGTTCTGTTGTTATTGTTGTTCTGTTGTTTGCTCACTGTGCTCGTGCACCACGGCCAACGTGGCAGCAGTGGCGGCAGCAAATAATTTGTCGAATTCAAATTCCGCGCGTGCTCTCTCTGGCATTGCTCAACCACTTGGGCCCCTCTGTCTCAGGGGGTCTCAACCCGGGGGTGCGCGCGAACCCTTCCCGTGGTTCCGTGCGGCGATTCATAAATGCGTGGAATTGTACCGTGCGTGAGAGTCCGTCGGTCGAACAATCGTGTGTGTGAATGTGGCCCATGTAGCGTGGCTTAGACCACATTTAACGCCACATGGAGAGGGCCTTTTGCTCAACCTCTCTTTCTAGTGCCTCGTTCTGTTGGCTCGTTGGGGGAACCGTTGCCCGCTTCGTTCACCGCGTGCGTGCGTGGGTGCGTGGGTGCGTGCGTGGGTGCGTGCGTGCGTGGGTGCGTGCGTGCGTGGGTGCATGCGTGCGTGCGTGGGTGCGTGCGTGGGTGCGTGCGTGGGTGCGTGTGTGCGTGGGTGCGTGGGTGGGTGGGTGCGTGCGTGGGTGCGGGAGTGGGTGCGTGGGTGGGTGCGTGGGTGCGTGTGTGCGTGGGTGCGTGCGTGCGTGGGTGCGTGCGTGCGTGGGTGGGTGCGTGCGTGGGTGCGTGCGTGGGTGCGTGCGTGGGTGGGTGCGTGCGTGGGTGGGTGCGTGCGTGTGCAGGAGTGGGACTACCCGTACGTGCACAGCTTCTTCCACTGCTGCCTGTCGGCGGCGTGCGTCATCATGCTGCCGCGCAGCAGCAGCGTCGCGCTGGGGAACCAGCAGCCGGACAAGCTGAGCTGCTACACGCTGTGCTGCTGCGTGTGACGGGGCCCCGCTGGTGCCGCCGTCGCTGGAGAGCGGTGGCGCAGCTGTTACTCAAAAACTAAATCGTAAACTCTTTTTTAATCAGGTAAGGCTCTCTCTTTTCGGTGAGCGACCTGGCTATCGCAAATGATAGCTCAACGAAGTGCGCTTATCACCATGTTGGACATTTATAGCGGCCAAACACTCTACAAACGCCTGATTCTAAATGTGGAGTGAGAAAATAACGGAGGAGCCGGAGATGAAATCCACGCGGTCACGGGGAGAGAGACGCCGCAGACTCCAAATATACAGCAGCAGCAGCAGGCGTCAGGGTCGAACCCACGACCTCTTGCGCACCAGGCGAGGGAGTTAACATCTCCTAGCCACCGCGGCAGCCATAGCGCCCTGCGCTACGAACCCGTGACCCGAGTTCGATTCCTGCCAACACCGCTGACGATAATCTGAACCGGTCCTGGGCATCCCCTAGATCGACTCAGCCTCAAATAAGTACCTGGTGCGTTGCGTAAACATCGCCACTGGGGAGACAAAGCAACGGTGATGTCACCACGTCGCTTGTGCCATGCTAGGTGCACGTTGAGGCCACGTGAAGTGTAGAAGGCTTCCTGCTGGCAGGAGGTCACGGGACAGACACAGGTGACATGGATTGACTGAGATGACATAAATAAGCACCTACTGTGCTCCCCACGGTGCCAACCTGCTGCGTTTTAGCCGCTAGACACTCCGCTCATTGTTGTGAGTCGCGTCCTTCACGAGCCTCCTCATAGAGGCCGATCTTGACACCGCTGGTACCAGTCAACGGCAAGTCGACTCAGTTCCATATCCTCTTGTGCCACATTAGCCCATCTGATATGTGCTGTGCCCGTCTGGCTCCTTATATCCAGCCAAACAGAAGCTCCTTGAGCATGCGGTGACTGGGCATGCAGGTTGCATGACCCGGGCAACGCAGTTTCGCCTGCCGCAGGAACTCACCGATGGGACTACGTCCAGATCTTTCAAGGGTCTGTGAGCTCCTCACACAATCCAGTCGATAAGACCTAGGATGGGTCGTAAGCAGGTCAGCCTAAATGTTTCAAACCGGCACAGATGTTAGTTTAAAGGGCTCCACCATTCACAAGCATAGAACAAGGGAGGGCATACGTGTGGTCGAGAAGACCTGGAGCTTCAAATGGAGCGACAGGCCTGGTAGTTTCCGCCGCTCGACTGATTTGGAGTGAGACCTCTGCTACCCAAATGTCGTTCGTTATCAGCGCTCTCCCCAGCTACGGAAACTGGTCCACGTTGTCAACAACTGCCCCACCGCTCATGGTGAATGAAGGAGTGAAGTTTTTGGTGACATAAAATACCCAGGCAGGTGCTTTGTGTTCGTGGGACTGAAGCCAAATCCCTTACCATCACAATGCTGGTTCAGCAGCAGCAGGGTCGAACAACAACTTCTCAGAGTGAGCAGGAATTACCGGATCATCATATGAAAAAATACGTTTTAAACTTTCTGCCAATTAAACAGGAGTTGTGTTAAGATGTTCAAACACCAAATCAAGTACTGCATCAACCACACACGGTACATGTGGTGAACATGCAACATATGTTCTTTGGGTCTTTCGGTAAAGCCACGTAGATAGAAAAATAATCAAGTCAAATAAAAATGTATTATTTTTCTATCTACGTGGCTTTACCGAAAGACCCAAAGAATATGAATTCCTGCAGTCACGAAAGCGTTAAGTCAAGATGCAAAGCATGCTCTGATAAATGTATGCATTGCCTTTGAAACCGATTGGTCAACACTGTCGCCTTCTGGCGTTGGTCTCTTGCCCGACTCTGGTGGTGAGACCTTGCCATGGAGAAGGCGACTGTCTCTGGTGTGGTCATAAATTATCACCAGAGCATATTTGTGTGCATGTTCACCACAAGCACGTGCGGTTAAGGCCAGTCTTGAACATCTTAACATCCCCTGTTTTATATTGCCATAAAGGGTCAAACCTATTCTGATTTTTTAATATACTTTTTTTCCCCATACATTTTGAACCAGATCATCAGAATGCATACCACCACCACCACCACCACCCTCATCATCATCATCAATGTGAGGTGACGTTTGGTCTTCACCTCCACATGGTGTCCCATCGCATGGATATTCTAAACCGCTGCCGGCAACGTCATCCCATGTATCATGATCACGTGATTGTGTTCCGTACTTATTCGACACAATTGATGTTGTTGCAATTGCTTTTGTTGATGTTGTTACTATCGCCGTTATTGTTGTTGTTGTTGTCATTGCTACTAAATAAAGCTCGTGCTAGCTTGCTTCCGTTTAAGTACCCCGAGCTCTCTGCGCTGTTTTGGGAGCGGTGGGCAGGCTGGGACCCCCCCTGCCCGGCCCCAGCGAGAACCAGGCCCCAGGGTTCAATGCCCGACCTGGGTGCCTTTCGTCCGTGGACTCTGTCCGGTCTCTCTCTCTCTCTCGTGTATATATTTGTACGTACGTTGAATTTATTTCGCACCGTACGTAGCCAACCGTGGTAATCGAAGGCGCGGGGAAAGGACACAAATATAACTCAAAACTCACTTCTGCAGTTTTCAAATTCAGTGACTTGGATGACTCAGTCACCCACCCACCAGTGTGAAGGTGACGTCTCGCTACGGGCTGCAGGTGATAGCCCCTCGCGCTGAGGCTCGCCGGTTTCCCGTCGAGCACGTCGCGGCCCGTGCTCAAAGTTGCATTGTGACGTCATCGCAGCATTGTGACGCCATCTCAGCAAGACGTGAGAGACGCCTTGCGCACCAAAGCGACCCCTTCTCCTCCGCTGCCCCGCAGCGCTCACGAACCCATTAACGACGAGCGTGCTGTGGCGCCATTGTGGCCGTAGCAGAGTGGAAGAGATGGGTGGTGACATCCAACCATCCCTCATCGTCATGAACCATGGGCAGATAGCCCCGTAGCTGTCTGCTGCACGTTACCGCGTTCCGTTCACACTGCCCTCTGCCTTGCGCCAATCTGCTCAAGTGGCGCAGCAACATCCGTCTGGCACCAACCTCTCCTGCCGCCGCCAAGCACTGAAGCCAAACTCTGTCCGGTCTCCCTCTCTGTGCCGGTGACGTCCACGCCGCCGTCACTCGGGCGGGGCAAGGGGGGCGGGGCAGGGGGGGCGGGGGGTGCCTGGCCCCCACCCCCCCCGGGTGGACAAAGCTGCGAGTTGGGGCCCTCTTTGACAACCATCATGAGATTTTTTTTCTAACAAGGTTATGAATGAACACGGGCTGATTTAAAACGCGGTTTCATTTTATTTTTTTTATAAAAAAATATTTCATTTACGTTCCACTTTTTCATTTAATTAGAACAGCAACGCGATACTGCAAAGAGGCACTGCTACGGAGGCTGTAGAGGCTGCATTTTGCGAATACGGAGCGCCCCCCAACAGCGTTAAATGTCCGAGCCCGTGAGCGTCACGGCGACGTGGATGAGGGCGAGCGGAGCCGCGATCTCTAAAAGCCTCCTCGGTGCGAGCGTGCGAAGAGACAAATCTAATATTGGGGCCCTCCACCTGATCGATTGACGCACCCCCCTGAGCTGATAACGCAGTCACTACGTCACTGGTAACGCAGTCACTACGTCACTGGTAACGCAGTCACTACGTCACTGGTAACGCAGTCACTACGTCACTGGTAACGCAGTCACTACGCCACTGGTAACGCAGTCACTACGCCACTGGTAACGCAGTCACTACGCCACTGGTAACGCAGTCACTACATCACTGGTAACGCAGTCACTACGTCACTGGTAACGCAGTCACTACGTCACTGGTAACGCAGTCACTACGCCACTGGTAACGCAGTCACTACGTCACTGGTAATGCAGTCACTATGTCACTGGTAACGCAGTCACTACGCCACTGATGACGCAGTCACTACGTCACTGGTAACGCAGTCACTACGTCACTGGTAACGCAGTCACAACGTCACTGTCGCGCTCATTACACACAAAGTGCTTGCCACAAATGAACCACAATACCTCGCTAATCTCGTAAAGGATCATAAACTATCATCGCACCAACTCCGCTCATCCTTGCAGCGGCTTTTGGATCACCATCGAACAACGGCGGTGGCCACCGCATCGCGCCCTTTGAGATGCGATTTCGCGGCCGTCTGGAACGCTCTTCCTTCCGATATTAGGAAGCACTGGAGCTATGCGCTTTTAAATAATCGAGATTTGAAAACTCATTTCTTTAAAACCGCTTGTTGCATTCATTTGGTTGTCCTTCCCCCTGCACCTCCGATTAGCGTGGTGGGCTACGTACGGTGCGAAAGAAGTTCAACATATATATACACACACATACACGCGTGTGAATACTCGCAAAGAGCACCAGACGAAGACGTTGGGTGGGAGGTTAACAAGTCTCAAAGCGTCGAGCGTTTCGGAAAGAAAAAGACAAATTCCACACACGGAGGTGGCCAGGAAAGTGGAGCACGAAACCACCAGCACACCCTCTGAGATCCTGGGGTCAGAGCCTTGGGTCATCACCCGGGGGAGTGGTGGGTGGTGGGGGGTGTTCGGCTAAAGACCGCTCTCGTGTGGCACAGCTTTAATGGTCTCAGCTGATGATTGTGGAAGAGAAGGACACACACGCAAAAACCCACACGTCAGCACGTGACACACTCGCATCGGACATGAGTCGTCCCTGTTGCGGTGTCCGGAGAGTTGGGGGAGGTCAGGGGGTGCGGGGTTGATGGAAGCGTCCTGCGTAGCTCGCCGCGCCGAGAAAGATGATCGCACAGCGTCCACCGCTGATTTCTGGGAGGGAGGGCCCCCCCACTCACCCCCCCACTCACCCCCCACAACCTCCACCCACCCCCCAAAACACCCACCCCCCTAACCCCCACCCACCCCCCCGACCCCCACCCATCCCCCCACCCCCCACCCACCCCCACCCACTCACCCACCCACCGGCTGATTTAATCATCGACGCATGGCGTTCACACAGAAATCCGCATGTTTAGGATTAACCGAAGTCCGAGGTTTGCGCGGCCAATATTAGGAAATTCGTAACAGAGTTTTGGGTTAGGACGCGTAATGACCTGGCCAAATCTGTGCCGTAAGAGCCTCCACCACCCGGCAGCCAAACGTCATTAAGAATAATTGCAGATCGTTTGATGTTCTATATCTGTAGAAGTGACAACGGGAAAAGGTAAATTAGTCGACGTTTCAGACGATGGCCCTGCAAGTGAAGAAGACCGTTGATCGAAACGATAATTGGTTGAAATAAAGGGTGCTTAAAATAATGTTTTAACACTTCTGAGAATTGCAACAACACCACGAGAAAAGCGCCTTCGGGGCTCTGGAGATCACCTGGAGAAGATTCCAGGCCACGT